GAGGAGAGGAGTAGGTAGGTAGGTAAGGTAAGTAGGAGGTAGGAAGGAAGGAAGGTAGGTAGGAGGTAGGAGGTTAGGAGTGAGAGAGGTGCATGAAGAATGAGAGAGAGAGAGAGAGGGGTTGGGAGATAATGGAAGGGAGACATTGACAGGTGCAAAAAAATGGGCGGCTCGAAAACCCTAAATATGGGTTAAAAGAGAAGGAAATTTTTTCGATGTTACCAACATCGAACTGGCCTTTGTACTTAAAAACAAGTGGTTTGAAAGTAAGGCTTTTGAGCCAAAATTTCATTTCAAAATGCAGTTCGAAGGTCTCAACCTCGAACATCATTCAAAGCACAAAAATAGACACAAGTATGGGCAGTTGAAGATTTGCTACATTAAACCAAACCCAAAACATTAATTTTTTTAAAAAAAAATAGAAAAAAAAAAAGGTGTGGGAGGATTTGATATTGTCAGCTTCCGATGGCCCCAAGAACAAAAGAAAAGTAGATTGAAAATGGAAATATCAAACTGTTTATAAGGTTCTAAATTGAGCTTTCGAAGTGCCCTACAATGAGGACTAATAGGCATTCTGAGGACTAAGTGCCCTCTGGGCCCAAACGGGTGTTCTGAAACATTGGATTGTCCATGTGCTTTGAACTTTCTACTTTCAAATTGGAGGCAATTTTGGAATAAAAACAATATATCACCTTAGTGTCAATTTTAGGAAAAGTTTGGACCTTTCTTTAATTTTAAAGAAACTGGTCCATACGTTAATTGCCATAAAGAAAGATCTTCTTTGGGGTTTCACATGGCAGTCGAGCACGGATCTTGAGAAAGCTGGGTTTCAGTGAAGGGTTCCTTGCCGGTGCGGTATTTGGGGCTTCCTTTGTTTCATGGTCATATCCAGCATAGTTATTGTCAAAGCCTGGTTGGAAAGGTGATCGATAGGATAGGTACATGGCAAGCTTTCTATTTATCTTATGCAGAACGTCTCAGCTGCTTAAGTTAGTCCTCAGTTCTTCGGCTATTTTTTGGATACTATCTTTTATACTGCCAAAACAAACCTCTAACATGATAGAGAGGCTTTAGAGGAACTTTCTATGGGCAGGAGTTGCAGAAAATAAGGGGGTTCATCTCGTTAAGTGGAGGACAGTTTGCCTCCCTCAGAAGGAGGGAGGCCTGGGGGTGAGGGAAATGATAGACTTCAATATTGCAGTTATGATGAAGCTGGCAAGGAGGATTTTAACAAATCCATCTTCTTTAGTTGCCCGATTCTTCAAACACAGGTATTTCAGATTGTGTTCCATTTGGGATTTTGTAGCTAAGAGGGGTTGTTCTCATGCTTGGAAGGGCATTCATATCGCTTTATCACAACTAAGGGATAATGTCTAGTGGTGTATTGAGAATGGGCAGACAATGGACTTCTTGATGGATCCTTGGCTATCAGTGGTCAATCCGGGACTCTTTAGATTTAAATGGATAGATGGATTTGAGGGAACCTGAAGGGCGGAAGGTTTCGGAGTGTATTGATGGTAACCCACAATCATGGACATTGCCTTAACATCCTTCAACTTTATTGCATACTATATGGGGTGATGTGGAGCGATATACTCTTCCCTTGTTGTCTAAGGATGATTCATACTCATTTTGCCAATGGAACTTTCTCAATCAAATCAGCATGGAACTTCATTCGATATAAAAGCTCATCTCAGCCCTTATTTCGTGCTCTTTGGTCTTCAAAATGTCACCCTCGGGTTAAGTGGTTTTCATGGTTAGCTATGCATAAGCGGTTACCGAATTCATCCATATTTTAACAGCGAGGTATACACATGGCTACTATTTGCCCTTTTTGTAGAAACAATGAGGACAATCTATGTCACCTTTTGTTTCACTGTCCTTTTTCGCTAGTTGTTTGGCGATCTTTAGCTTGGCGATGTGGCAAGAGATTTGTGCTTGGTACTGCGGTCCTGGATATTCTTTGTTGGTGGTTAGCCTTCAAATTCAAATCACAGGGGTTACTTGACATTTGGGTGGCTTTTTTTTTTGACAACAATCTTGTATTTGTGGGAGGAGTGGAACAAACGACTCTTTAGATCTAACGCCCTAAGGAGGGAGCAGGTTGTAATACATATTACTACACATGTCAAGGCTCTAGCAGAAGTTAAAAAATGGGTATTCCATTTGTCAAAAAAGGCGGTTATTGAAAACTTAAAAATCAACTGGCACTAGCAGAAGTCAAAATCCTCAGTCCCAATTGCATGGTCATTTCCTAAGGTTCAGTGTTATAAGATGAATATTGATGGTGCGTCCTTGCATAATCCTGGTTTCGCAGGAGGGGGTGGGGTCATAAGAGATAACAATGGTGGATTTGTGGCAGTGTTCGCTAAACACTTTGGAGTTGCGTCTAATAATTATGCAGAATTTCAGGCTCTTAAGGAAGGTATTCTCTTAGTTATCTAGATGGGTTGCTTCTCGATATAGATAGAAAGTGATTCATCTTTGCTAGTAGATACTATTCAGGATCGTTGCAGTGCCCCATGGAAATTACGAACGATAATTGACAATTGTCGTTCAAGGCTCTCGACACATATGTGGACTATTACTCAGGTTTTTGGCGAGGCGAATATGGTAGCTGATGCTTTAGCTAAGAAAGCATCGGCTTCTGCAGGTGCAACAATTTGGCGTTGTCATCCGCCAGACTTTCTTTCTCTTCTATTATTACATGATTTGGCGCAACTGCCTTATTATAGGGTTGTGAAATAATGTGTTCTTCTTTTTCCTATTAATGAAAAAATTCGGGTAGGGGGGCCTTCTCCCCCCTGACTTACCTAAGAAAAAGATCATTACCTAGTGAGACTCACCCAAATCTCTAGATGTTTTGTCTAGCGCTGTAACCCAAAGTGATTTGGATGAGTCCAAGCCTGACTCACCAATTTTCTCATCACTGCTCATGCCAAGATAACAACTACAAAGCAAGCCAACTCATCGTATATAATTCCCTGCGGCAAGAGGATCCCATTCATATCCAAATTTAGCAATTTAGCTCAAACCTTAGAAGGGACAAACCAAGTGAAATTCTTTGTACTTGCAGCGTCAAGAGTCTATGAATGTATGCAAGGGACAATCCCTATTGCTGCAAAGTAAACTTTCATTCTATTGCTTGGCTGGATCACTCACAAAACAGAAATCTCTCAATTCACTGTTCATTGCACATTGGGAATAACTCCATAAGACAATATTTCTTTCCTACCAGCACACCCAAATTGAGACGCCAAAAAGCAAAAGCTAGAAGTTCTTAAACTCTTTAGATTTCCATCTCTCCTCTCTCCAAATTGAAATATTCGAGATGTGCAATCGAAGTCCATAGTCTAACACCACATAAACTTTTTTGGTGTTCCATGTGAACTTGCTACACAACCATTATAAACTAAGTGCAAGAATTCTACTCCAGCGCTTTAGAAAATATACATCTTAGGGCCAAGTTGCCCTTTACTAAAGCAAATTCTGTGTGGGAGGCTTGTTATGCAAAGCCAACCATGTAAACCATCTCACTACTGGACATCTTTGGATTTGCTATCAAAAACTGAGGGCAACCGAACTCTGAACATTGGATCTCATAATATCACAAGGAGATTTGATTGAAGGTCAGTCTTTGAAGAGTAACTCCAAGCAAGACAGATGTTCTACAAGCAAAGCCAGAAAGAATATATGAGACAATATGAAGGAATGTTTACCCGAAGAAGATGCCATCATTGGGATTACCGGAAAGAAATTTGAGACCATGGGGCTCGTAACCCATCTCTATATCTCTGTGCAATTGGCCACAAAAAAAGCTTGTAAAAGAGAGGCTCTAGGCAATCATGGTGAGCCCTAAAGCTTCACATTACACTCCTTTCCAATTACCCATAGAACATCAACCTCTTAAGAATTTCAGTATCCTTGTTCCATGCCAGGCAAATGAGCATATAGACCTGTATTTTGCTGCGTGAATGGTAATTTAATTAATTGTGAACAAGGAGATCAGGAGACAAACAAATGTCATATCTTTTTTATTTGGAAGGCATCACCCTCGCATGCTCTTTTTTTCTGAAGGACATTCCTCTCCCTCAAGTCTCCTACATTTCTAACCATTGCAACCTCTCTCCTGGTCCAGAACTATACTACTCTCCCTCTGTTATTTAAGATTGCTATTAAATTTCCTGTGATCCAAAACCAGTGACATTCTCCATGTTCCACTGAGTTGTTTGTGATGGGGCCCTTGTTCTCATTGCAACTCCAAAGGTGGGTGTGCAACAAATGAGGCTGCGACCTGGACTTTTAGCCAACCCTCTCTCCTTCAGTTTCTTCCTCAACCTCTCAGCCTCCTCAAACATCCCTGCACTCGCATATACATTGCATAGAACCACAACATGCCCACAAACATCATCATCATCATCCACACGTAACTCTAACAATTGTTCACCCACAAATTGGGCCAGCCCTACCTCTCCACTTAGCCTACAACCACCAAGCAATGCACCCCATGCACTCAAACTAGGCTCACCTGATATCCCATACATAATCTCTCTTGCTTCACCTAACTGACCTGCTCGTGCCAACATATCCACAATGCACGCACAGTGCTCTGAATTTGGCTCAAGCACCTGAATCATTCGGCCAAAAATCATGAGACCCTCTTTCACCAAGCCTGAATGACTACAAGCTGCTAGCACACTGAGGTATGTGATTATGTCAGGTTTGGCGTTCATGTCATGTAGCATTGCCTTGAACATGGTGATGGCGGCTTCTCCATGACCGTTAATTCCAAGTCCTGAGATGATGGTGTTCAATGACACTGTGTCTATACCACTTATCTCATCAAACACTATATTCGCATGCCTTGCATCTCCGCATTTTGCATAGGTTGCTATGAGAGCATTATGCACAGAGTGGTCAAGCAAGAAGGCGCCCCTGATGCAGAAGCCATGGAGTTGTTTGCAAAGCTCTAGGCTCGCGAGATCTGAACATGCAGCAAGCACGTTAGCGAGTGTTACAGAGTCCAAATCCACATCTTTGGTTTGTACCATTTGATGCAAAACCCACAAGGCTTCGGCTGCTTGGCCATTATGCACATATCCAGAAATCATCGCAGTCCATGAAACCAGGCTCTTTTCTTGCATAATATTGAATACCATTTTCGCAGAGTCCATATCCCGGCACTTAGAGTAGGCTGCAATTAGTGAATTCCCTAGAGGGATATAGAAACCAAATCCATGCGTATTTACCTGACTGTGGATAAGCTTCACACAATTTAAATTACCTAAGATTCCACAAGCTGCAAGCAAATTGACCATGGAAACAACATCAGGTGCAATTCCTGAGGCCTTAGCTTTAGGAAAGAGATACAAGGCTTCGAGGGCATGGCCAGCCAGTACATACGCACCCATCATCGTGGTCCATGTCACCAAATCTCTAATAGCCATCCTCTCAAAGATTAAACAAGCGGTATCAATATCTCCAAAATTTGTATACATGTCTAACAGTGAATTGCTCACAGATACGTCTCTTTCTAGCCCAATCTGTACCACAAAGCCGTGCAAGCATCTACAAAGCCCAAAGGAATCAAGTTCATTAGACAAAGAAGCCATGATAAGCATGGTTACCGAATTGGGAACACATGTTCCTTGAGAAAAGAATCGCAGGGCGTCTCGGAAAAGCCTATTGTGCACAAGTCCAGAAAGCATTGCATTCCAAGTTACAAAACCAGGTTCAGACATAGCATGAAACACTCTACATGCGCCATCAATATCAAAGCACTTGGCATACATGTGAATCAGAGAAGTCCCCACGTAAGGATGAACTTCTTCGATGCCGCTCTTGAGAAGGACACCATGTACGCATCGCCCAAGCCAAATGTCACCCAAACCAGTGCAAGCCGAAAGAAGGCAAACACCCGTGAACGAATTGGGTGACACACCAGAGACTTGCATGAGAGAGAAGAGCCATAATGCATCAGAATAGCCGCCACTACGCACATAACGAGTGATCAAGACCGTCCACGAAACCACATTTCTTTTGAGGAATTTCAGCAAGCAGTTGGTGTTCATCCCCGCAATGACCGAGCCCAGATTGTGTGGCTGAGTTGAAAGCATGTATTTGAAGGCTGTGGAGCAGAGGAAGACGAGGGTTTGAGTACGGCAGCAATTGGCGTAGGTGCTTGAAGACCAAAGACAGCATTCTACGTAAATAAATCCGATGGAAGTTTTGGGGTCGTCAGATGAGACCTCATTAGACTGTATATTTGCAGAGGCACAATTAATAGTCCTCGATTCAAATTTGTGCAACTGTAAATTTGGAGGGGATTAAGAGCGTGTTTGTCATGTGAAAATTTCGGTGCCAGGTTCCTACTTTAGAAGGTAAGAACTGCATGGCACCAAGAAGTGGGCACTTAAAAAATGGATGGCACCAAGAAGTGGGCACTTCAAACATGGAAGTTTGACAACCAAGAACTGCATATCACCAAGAAGTACTAAAAAAAAAGAGAAGTGTGCACTTCCATCCTCATGATCGACAAGCAGTACTCAAAAAATGAGAAGTGTGCACTTCCATCCTTACAACTGATGAGCTCCTCAAAGAGTGAGAAGTGCGCTTCTCCTGGAAGCACGCCCTTTTTTTATTTTTTTATTTTATTGTAATTTTCAATTGAGCAAGATTTTTATAGAAGTTCTATCCTCCCCATTATCCAACCGTCCATTTTGAATGGAGGGTTGGGGTTAAGATTGCCCCAATCACAATGTCACGTCTACACTATTATATTTTTTATTTTTTTTTCTATAAATTATTTGATGCCAAAATTTGGACGTCCATTCCTCTATTAAACTTGCACTAGCAAAAAATAAAAAAAAATATTTTCAATAAAATAAAATTACCAAAATACCCCTAAAATTTTCAAGGGGTATTTTAATCATTATATTTTATCAAAAAATTATTTTTAATATTTTTAATAGGTGAGCCCCAATAAGAAGATGAAACGTACCAAATTTTATATTCATACAATTTGTATAAAAAAAAAACTAAAAATAAAATACTTTGAGAAGTTGGATTTAGGATTACACGGTGAATGGCTCTCTTGATCAAAATTGGATGGCTGGATGGTAGGGGGAGGATAGAACTTCTATGCTATAGAGGAAGCATAGAAACCTTTCCCTTTTCAATTCCTATATAAATGGAAATTACAAGATGACACAAAATAGAATTATAATTTGTAGTTATTGTAAGGATACATTAAAGTCATTGAATGGTACCTCTATATCCTTACTTGGTATCATTTAGTGTTCTACTAGGTAATTTTTTCTTCCTTCTAAATTTTCATTAAATACAACTAAAAGCTTTCTCCGCTATCACGAGACAAAACATACAACGTTTTTATTGGGAGTACAATGAAAAAATAAGAAAGTACTAAACTAAACTATTACTTTAACACAGAATAAGAATTATAACCTAAGGTATAGGATTGTTGTTTAAAAAAAAGAACACAATGTAGAACACCCTAGACCACTATGAGATGATTGAATCTCAGACACAGGATAGTGAGGAGATTCCTCCACTAGAGGACAATAGTGGGAGAGTTACCATGGTCGCCAAGGATAGTGGGAGTGGGCTACCATTAACTCCTAAACATCATAGGAGTGCACATGGCTGAATCTCTTGGAGACATTTTAAGATTGAAGGGGAATGCTTGAGCTGTGTCTCCATCGATGATGATAAACTGGGTTCATATAAGGAAGCTCTCATATCACTAGATGCAAGCGAATAGATTGATGCAGTGGGTGAAAAATTAGTTTCATATAGAAGAATCGAGTCTTGGAGCTCATGGATCTTCCCTCAGATAAAAAGGGCATAAGAAACTAATGGGTTTTGGAAATTAAGAGAAAGAACGATAATAATATAGATAAGTACAAGTCCCATTCCATGGCGAAAGGGTTTCCCAAATTGACGGGATGCACTTCAAGGAGACATTTTCCCCAGTGGTGAGAATGGACTTAATTCACCCAATGCTTTCCATTGTGGCGCACTTGGATTTGGAGGTTTACCAAATGGATGTCAAAGATGACATTCCTTGATGAGAACTTGGAGGAAAAGATTTACATGGAACAGCCAAAGGACGTCCACATGCAATAACAGAAAGTATATAAGCTTGCCAAGTCTATTTATTATTTACATGTAAATCTATGCCGATCTCTGACTGAGACCAAATCAAATTCATGCAAAACGAGCTAAAAACTTGATAAGTCGATAGCGAAGTGGGGCCGCACAAATTATAGAGCAAAAAATGTCACCGATCTAGCAAACTTGATCTTTTTCTAGACCTACTGGCAGTGCCAGCTATAGATTCTACCTACTGGATCTTTAAAAAGTTATAAATTTTAATTCAACTAAGAAATAAAGAAATAACTAGAAAAATAAAAATAAAACAGAAAAATAAATAAAAATACACAAAGGAGAGGAAGATAACATACACGAGTAGGGGTGGCAATCGATTGGGATCCAACCCACTGGGTAAACCCGACATAGGTTTGGGTATGGGTCCAATATTTGGACCTAGTGGGTATGGTTTGGGTCCATCTCTATGGACCCAAAATATGCAGGGGTAGGGTACGAGTTCTAGTGGACCTGATCCGGACCCGAAAGATGTGGGGATAGACATAAACTAGAGAGAGAAATACATGGAGAAGAGTAGAGAGAGAGAAAGAGGGGGGTGGGTCTGGGTCCATCTCTATGGACCCAAAATATGCACGGGTCGGGTACGGGTTCTAGTGGATCTGACCCGGACCCAAAAGATGTGGGGATAGATATAAACTAGAGAGATAAATACATGGAGAAGAGTAGAGAGAGAGAGAAAGAGGGGGGTAGACATAAACTAGAGAGAGAAATTAATTCAACCATGTATTATACGTCATTTTTGACGCACCTCAGCCCCTCGATCAAATAAAGGAAGAAAGCCGACTTTAGCTCAGTCATCGTGGTGCACAAGACATAGTCGCGAGGAAACAGTAGCTGTAGATGGAAATGCCTCAAATAAAGGACGACCGAAGACGCCTACACGAAATTAAAAAAAAAGTCAAAGCCTTATCCCCACCACCATGTTTATAGGAGCTGGATGGGCATGCCAAACGACCACCGTCATCTTCCAAGAAAAATGAAGTGGGCGCGGGCTCAAATGGACCGACTCAGCAGCCCTAAGCTCGGACCATCATAAAGTAGGGAAGAGGCACGCCTTCCACCGTACGGCCTCATCGAACCAGTCGTCAGCCATGGAGATTTCTCGACCACTCCATGACGAGCTCGCAACTTCTTCCCCGCAACAGAAGAGTACCCAAAAGCCTCAGAAGCCGACGAAAAAAAAAAAACTTCGACGATATTTCTGTCTCTGACGAACAAGCGCGAAGGTAAGCCTCGCCCACAAAAAAGAAGAAAAAAAGACGCCTTGAAATCCATGGACGCCAGAATCTTCAAAAGGACATCTTGACCCTCGCAGAGAGAACTCGGCCGCGTAAAAACTAAAACACTTTCAGGAAGAAAGTTCAAGTCAAAACACGATAAGGAGCATTCAAAGCAAAAATAGAGAACAAAGGGCACGAAACCTAAGGTCACAAAATAAAACAAGAAGATTCCCGTTGCCGAAAATCCCTTTTCCGATGATTCACTGAAGTCCCAGAGTATGAAAAGCAAATTAAACCTGTTGTAAAGGACCTGTTCTAGGCTTGCAATCAACACAGAGTCGCCGCAGATCAGGAGAAGAAACCATCAAAGAGTTGATAAAAACTAACTAGATTCCTTCACTCACGAAGAAGGTTGCCGCAGTACGATCAAAAGGGATAAAAAAGATCGCAAGCAAACGAATGACAAGAATACAACAATAGATCAACCGATCTCATGCTTCAAGTACCTAGAAAAGAGCTCTCAAAGTTGACAATGGCGGCGGGCTCCTCAGGAAAGGACGAGTTTGTCATTTGTGCAGAAGAATCTTTATGGCATTTTGGTCATTGTATCCAATTTCGAGACATTGTTTTAAATATTTTTAATTGTATTTAGGCTTAATTTTCGAGTATCCACCCATGTTTAGTGAGAACTCTATATAAGTAAGCTTAAGTCAATTGTAAAAAAGGGGATTATAATTCAATAAAGAAGAGGCATTACGCTTGATTCTGTTTGTCTTTTCTCTTAACCCTAGCATCCCAAGGAGAGGAGAGAGAAAATTTTTGCAAGAGAGAGAAATAACCCCAATCATGCAGGTACGTACTTCTCTCCTCTTGAAGGTGTTTATCGTTTCCGAAACTTTCTCTTTTCCCTTCTAAAACACATAATTCCACACACGTGCAAAACTGCACGGACCCAAGCAAACCAAAAGGGTTCAAACCAGCATGCGCCCCATGTCTAATCCCTTCTCCTTGCTTAGATAGCCCGATGAGGTCAATGAAGTACCCCTCTCATTCATTCGATCAGCCAAAAAGGGACCAATCTTGAAGAAAAGAATCAAGACATCCATCGGAATTTAGACTTGAGAGAGGAGAATAGGGTCGATAGCGTCTGAAGAGAGTCTCGGACTAAACCGCGCTGGTGAACAGCCGGAGGGCTTTCATAATTGATCTAAGAGGGCAAGCCGCCCGGATGTGTCCCACGAACCTGCAATGACGAGGTAAGCGAATCAATCTTCTCCCGTCGTAAAATCTCTCTCTTTGTTGGTAACCTATCCGCACTAAAGAAAGCAAGTGCACCCGCGTCACCCGAAGCGCCACACACGCGAGCCTTCGGCAATTGTTTGAGAGAGGATCTTCTCCCGGTCCCTTGCGCGAGGGAACCAGAGAAAATCAGGCCCTGATCAACTGACGACTCTACTGGGGACACGTCAGCCTATAGTTGGCTAGGACTGTTTTCAAACAAAAATCCTCTTCTCCTCTCTTTCTAAAATCTCGATGGATTCCCAATCTTCTTCTTTGCTCCAAATCGGGGACTTTCTCCTCCCCATATCATTGACTTATTCATGCACGAGTGGGTTAACTGGTCTTGCTATCTTTGTCCAATCTAGGGTAACACAGAGTTTGGGCATCCACACCCCTGCTCCTTCCTCCACCCTTGACCAAAGGGAACCCATTAAGGTTATCTCCAAGGTCTGCATCGCAGTCACTCTTCCACACCATCATGAATGGCACCTCGTCATTCGTGAGCCTAGACGCTGGCTTCCCTGCCACTTGGTGAACTCCAATAGGGCTGCCACCTCCGCCAGCGCCCGTAAAGCAGGACGGTCCATCTCACGTGTTGCTGGTGTAAGACCGCCCTCTTTCACACACACTCTTGTCACAACTGATGGCCTGACCATCACTATGACAAGTCAGGGTATAGGGCAACCCCTCTCAATCCTTTCACCCACTGCGGGTCTCTTCATACCCAAATCCACCACACATGGTCTGCCGACTACCTCCACACCACATGTTTGCCACTCGGGGCAACCCAGACGGTAGACCCATGCGGGCGCATAGCCTTCAGATAAACCGAAGGTCATAAAACCCCTGCACATATATGTCGGAGGCCATAAGGCTCACCAAACCAAACAGGCAGGAATTCCAAGTGCTGAGTCCCGTGTAGCACGAAGGGATGGAC